GAGGCGTTAGGCCTGGGTCAGGGAGGAGCCAGCCAGAGATAGTTGATGGTGGGGAGCATGGGGAGGGTCAGGCCCAGGCCTAACACCTCAACCAGAGGCTTTAGGTTTGGGCCGGGGAGGAGCCAGCCAGCGATCATTGAGCCAGCGATCATTGATGGTGGCCCAGGCCTAACACCTCAGCCTGAGGCTTTAAGCTTGGGCCAAGGAGGAGCCAGCCAGCGATCATTGATGGTGGCAGCGGTGGGGAGCTGGGGGTGACCCGGCCCAGGGCTAATAACTCACCAGAGGCTTTAGTCCTCAAAGGGAGGCCAGACTGTGGCTTAGGCCCACTCCCCAAGGGGAGCAGGGAGCAGGTAGTAGGACATCCCCTAGGGCTCCCAGTATGTGATAGGGGGCAAGCTGGGCTGAGAGACCCCCCACCCCGCCAGTGCACAAATTTTTGTGCACCGGGCCTCTAGTAATATATAATAGCCATTAAAATTGAGCACCAAAAAATCTCTTCTTTAGCCACTATCTTAATATAGGAAAATTGACTGATACAGAACAGGTCTAAAGTCATTGGATGGGGAGTTTACAACACCAATTATCACTGTTCTTGAGTATTTGCTGCTTCTTGCTACTAGGGCTAACTAACTCCCACAAGTCAGCTTTGAAGAGTCTAATGCTAATGTCTGTTCTTTTTACTTTTCCTATGCTTCTCCCAAATGTATGAAGAAATTCCCTTTTATTGCCTGCCAGTCAAAACTCTCCCTGTTTTTTCATCAGGAAGTGAAATGACCACAAATCATTTCAGCCTTCAGTTCTTGGTGGCCCTGTTTATTGTTTCATGATTTCTCTTCCACTGAGGCATTTGGAATTTGGGAGGCTTCTAGAAGGCTGGTTTCCATCCGTTGAATAGATCTATATTGAGAATCTCCCATGTAGAAATACATTTGTAACTGATTTTAAAAATCAAATGAAAACCTTGTCTCAAATATGTTTCCATGCTATATGACAAATCAACAATATATGGACACAAAATATGTATCAGCAGCATGGTTTCATCACTAAATGTTGATGTAGGCAATTTGAGAATTTTAAAATACTCCTTTAGAAAGCAGTCACAAAGCATTATATTAGGGTGAAACAACATGAAAAATTGCTATTGGAATTGGAAATGACAATGTAAATTTGAGCTAAAACCGAAATGACAACTTGTTTTATCAACACTTAGAAAGTGGCTTAAAGAAATAAATCACTGCCTCATAGCTTGTTGAAATGATACATTATGCTTTGACTTGTGTCATTTTAATTAAAACAAGTAAGGAGTAGGTTCTTATACCTTTTAGAGAATGGGTTGCTATTTTAGCTAGGTGGCAGTATATAACAACGATTTTACTGAGAGAATTAGATGGTTATGTATACATATTGATAGAGACATATTAAAATTTAATCATAATGTGCAATCTACCTGTCATAAACTGAATCTAGAAATGGCTGAATATAACAAAGACAAAGCATCTTTTGCCCAAAGGTAAATTCCCTCCTTTCATTGACTGGTAACAGCATCTAATGAGTGTATAAACATGAAGTGTTTCACAACCTGTGCAGGTTTCCTGCCAATTTAAAGTTTTGGGGGTGGGAGTAAATTCTTATAAAAATAGACTCACTTCCTTGAAGTACTTTCAACTGGTACCATCTATTATTAGATCATTTGAGATGGAATATAAATAATCACTCTCCATGGGGCTTCCGGTCAAGAGAGGGAGTAGAGAAATGTGCTCACCTCTTCCCATGACCACAGCAATACTACAACTAAATTATAGAACCACCTGAAGTCTAGCTGAACACAAGCCCTGTAACTAAGGGTATAAAGAGGAAGCCGTGACAAGGCCGGGAGTGGCAGGTATAAGGGAAGAGCAGGTCCCATACCCAGATGTGACAGTGAAGAATCAAGGGGGACATCTTGGCTGTAGAGGTCCCCTCTGAGGAGGTATGGACCCAGCCCCATACCCAGCTCCCTGCCCAGGACACCAGTGTCAGCAAGAGGCGTCCCCATTACATAAGGCGATGAAAACTAGTGGTGATTGCATTCTGAGCGAGACTGAGGACTGCTGGAGTCCCAGGCATTCCTCTTTAGGGGCTGAGCATGGATGTGCTCACTCACAAACTCATTAGTTTTGGGCTACAGTACAGAGGCAGCAGCCCAAATAGTGACAGGCACAAACGGGTAGGAACTGTGTTAACTGGTTCCAGGGTGAGGGCTGGAGGAGCAAGGGTTGGGGCAGCTATCTCTGGAGACTGAAGCGCTGGTAGGCACAGGCAAGTGCCAAATCTGCATTAACCTGGATTATATCATTCTCCTCACCGTGAGAGTCTGCCACACCCAACTCACTTGTCCGACTGAACCTCTTCCAGCGGCTCCCCCACACAAGGGGCCTGTTCCAACTCAGGCTGCAGATTTTCCTAAAACCTCCCAAAGGTCCACAAACCCCGACAAGCAGCAGCCAAACTCTGTGCCCTTTATTTCTTGGTAAGTGCTCTCAAACCTGGCACAGGAGGTGACCAGTCTCACTTTGCATTTTAACTCCCGTCAGGTGGCTCCAAGCCTGGTGTTAGCTGCGGCCACTGTGGGCCGAGAGCACAGCTTCAACTCAGTGGCCATGAACCCAGCACAATAGATGGTTGGCCTCTGCCCACACTGTGGTGCCCACCACAGGGTGGTAAGCCTGGTACTAGTGGCAACCAGCCTCGGTTCACAGCATAGCTTTCCCCAGGCGCCTCCAAGACGAGCACCAGCAGCAACCAAGCATAGATCACTCTGCAGCTTCCACTGGGTGGCCTCAGGCTGGGCACAAGCAGCAGCTGACTTTGGCCTGCACTGGAGAACCTCCAGAACCCCTACCCCTGGAGGCCAGCTTCAGAACACACCAGGGCTCCACCTCACCAGCTCCACAAATGACAAACCCAGAGTGTAGACCAGGCTGGCACCGGAGCCTCCCTCAGACACATCTTGCTCCACGGGGTCAGGTCCTGCACAACAGCCTGTCCTCTGCAGTAATGGCCGGTCCTCACAGCCAGCCTGAGGATCAATCCCCCAGTGATACACCAATCACAATCAAAACCACTACAATAGGAGGGGGCCAACACCATAGCTTTAAATCCTCTTGGACCTCAATCCTCACTGCCAACAGGATATATTCTCTTGTATGCTTATTTACCTTACGTTAGATACCATCATACAATTGGGAATGAGACTTTAAATCAGTATCTTGCAAAGAACCACTTGTTCTATTCTGGGATATCTACAAAGTAACAAGTTGTCAAAAAATAAGATGGCATTCTGGGAACGTCAAGGCTATGGTTTCAGAAAGAGTGGGAGAGATAAGACTATAACAAAGAGAAAAAAGATGTCTAAAGCTGAATGTTGAAAGGAACAAGCATGAGTTTTAAATGTTATTAGATCATAAATAGAAAATGATCAAACAATCATTTATAGGAAAAAAATTGTGGTCTTCCTTTTAAATAAACATTTAGGGTTGGCAATAAACTCCTGAGACATTTTATAGTATATATTTTTAAAGGAGATTGTTTGCTAATTATGCAAATATGAGATGGAAAATTAATTTTGCATAATTAAAAGGAACAAATAAGCACCAACTAGACCAACTTTACTTTCCCTGAAAGGACAAAAAGAAGTAACTCTAGATTAGATTGTGTACATGAAATACTGCTTATCAATGGATTGATTTTCTTTTTCCTAAGACCAGCTAAGGCCTGAAAGGGATGGCTGGAAACTTTTATTAATTTTGAAACCAAGGAGTAATGTAAAGTTAGAGGAAAAAGTTACTTTGGCAAAAATTTCCAGTGTCAGGAAAGATAGACTGCCCATCTGGAGAAGGAATGGAGCAAAAAACTGATAGTGAATCCAGGTTGCAACTCAGGATGCAACTGTGCAGTTTCTCTTTCTCCTCATGTTACAAGCAATGAGTTAAGTTCTAGGTACATAGTTGTCTGATACATACAACTTTCTTTATATATACCTCACTAGGTGCCATTCTTTTTTAAAATATATCTTTATTGATTTCAGAGAGGAAGGGAGAGAGAAAGATAGAAACATCAATGATAAGAGAGAATCATTGATCGCTGCCTCCTGCAGGACCCCTACTGGGGATCAATTTGGCAACCCAGGCACTTGCCCTTGACCGGAATTGAACCTGGGACCCTTCAGTCCGCAGGCGGACAATCTATCCACTGAGCCAAACCGGCTAGGGTGAGTAGGTGCCATTCTCATTGTGGTCGTGGTCTAATCATATATTATTAGTTATAAATCTGAAACAGTGAATTTCATATTTATAGTAAATTATATGTGCGTGGTAGATTGTGCTCCATATTTACATTACCTTTTGAAAGATAAGCACATGTAAAATGTAAATATGACTTTTATACTTCATAACAATTGACTCTTTTTAGACCATCATAGTCGACTACATTGCCAAAGACATGACAGAAATTTCTTAAAGCTCCTACCTATCCCTGAGAATGGTCCACAGCTCTCCACCTAGGCAAGCTTCCATCAACATATACAAATATTTGCTGTCCTTAAATGTTCTGTATAGTCTGTGAATTGCAAACAAGAAAACAAAGGTTACAAACATTATTGCCTTTCAAAAGCATGTACATGTTTTGAGTGCCATGATTACAGTCTTATTCTTGCTTTGCCAACCTTGAAATTTTATTAAAAAGATGAGAGAGATCTGAATTTGCAAATAAGGAACAGGAGGTAATGGCTCCTGACTAAGACGCACACACTGTCGGGGGCTAGTCTCTCCTCTGAAATGTATGAATCCCCGTCATTATGGACACAGAGGCCTTCTCGGTATTCCTCTAACTTACAATCTGGTTGATGTTTCAAGCATGAACTCTTGAGCAATATTTAGTGGTTATAAATATGCAGTGAACATAGCTGTAAAGTAGGTTATCTTTTACAAATATAACGTATGAAATTTGTGTGCTGTTCCCTTAATATATTCATGTTGTAATCTGTTTTCAGCAAATGCCACAGGGAAATTAATTAGAAAAGCTTCTGCATTTAAAGAAACTCCCCATTATTCTCTTATTAGTGCTTTGGTTGAGTAGTCATTGCATTTTTAGAAAATATTTAAAATGCTCAAATACTTAAAGATAAAATAGTCTGATATTTTGTCTTTTGAGCACCAGAACTCTATGCAGAGTTTTGGAGTAACAGAGAGGATAAAAAAGAAATGTTACACACTCTGATTTTCCCTTTGGGAAAAGCATGTTCTTTTCCCAGAATCTGATTCTCTTGGGGGGGGGGGAGGGGAGAGAGTCAACTTTTTTGCAAAATCTTTCTTAAAATCAGATTAAAATGATTCTGTGTGAATGAAATGTGTGGTGGTGCGTGTGAGTGGCAGGGGTTTTGCGGTTGATTTGCACTTGGAGTTGGGACTGTAGTCCCGGGGGCAGCATCCTCACCTCACTATGAAGTCGGAGTGAGCCCCCTGCATGATCTGCTTCTCGGAGCGGATGTGCTCCTGCTGTCTCGTGTCCACAATGTGGCGTTTCTTGAGAATCTTCATTGCAAAGGTTTTGGATTCTTCACTTTTCAACTGGACCTTAAAGAAAGGCGGAAGGAAGTCAGAAAATGACTATAGTGTTAATGCACAGAGTTCATCCTCAATCCCAAATTAACAGGTGCATGGAGCACTGAAGTGACACCCCAACCACCACCCGAATCACACAATAAATCCTTGCTGGAGCTGTGTTTAACATCCAGGCTCACAACTATTGTCCAGTCTCATCGCACTAGGTCAGATGAATTTTAATTTCACTGGATTCCCAAAGAATTTTGTGCCCACTTGAACTAGAAGGGAAATATACTTGACTCTCATTTCATTTAATATGCTTGAGTATACTTGATAGTTTTTCTGCTTCAATCAAAACAGTAGAAATCTACCTTCTCCAATTTTACTGTGAGTGTGGCAAAGGTAGGATCATATGGGCCTTTATGTTCTGTCTCTTTAGTCCTGTCCAAAAACACTTCTCAAGTTGTAAAAGTATCTACTTCTATTCTTTTTTAACCTCCCAGTTTGCCCTTTATTCCAGTTGCAAAAAGGAGAAGAAAAGTGTAGCAAGATGTTTTTTAAGAGATTAAAAAATAATTTTTTTCAAACATAAGCTTTATTTTCCCCCCCAAGATGGCCTTTTCTCAAGGATTTAGTAATAGAAAGGAAATAAATTCTGGTATCTAGAGATAAGTTAGACCTATTACATATTTTGGAGCAGAGGAAAGGAATGATTTAGCGCTATCATTTTAATAACAATAGAATACGGTTATTGATTTCAAAACCTTTTGAGAACGTGCTCCACAACAATATTTCTACCTTACTGGCAATGATGGGCTCCTGAAAAGAGGCTGTACTCTGAACATTAGTAATTCTAATCATATGTTCAATATCCTGGGTCTAAAGGAATTCTTTTATAATTTCACATCTGATTTCTGATGTGCTATGGAATTGTGCACCTGAAACCTGGATAATTTTGTTAACCAGAATCACCCCAGTAAATTCAATAAAAATGATTACAGCTAATTAGATTTTTACAGCTTTCCTATTGGGGCACATCTAGGGAAATTGATTAAAAAATATTTCAAGATATATTGAAAACTCTTTTTCTTCTCAGATACGCAGGATAGCTTTAATCCTCTTGGACCCCAATCCTTACTCCTCAGGTGTACTAACTGGGAGACCTAAGCTGTGCCTTGATGTCCCAAAGCCTCCCTGCCTCCTTTGCAGCCCCACATGGCTCCCTGGGGCTCTGGAGTCCTCAGGCAGGCTGGTGATCTGTGTTTATTGTTTTACATAAAAATTTAACAAGGTGACTTGTAATGAAAATGCGAGATAGTAGAAGTAATCACTTAATAGCAATTTTAAAGTGTTATCATCTAGGGCTCTCCCTCAACAGAATCCTCAAGATAATGCCAAACAGCCCCCATTACTCGGTAATAATGAAAGCCTTGAGGAAATAACATGACAAGCTCTATCTTATTTTCAGCTGAAATATCACAGTCCCCTCTTTCGTCGTGAATTGTTTAGGCTTCATCTGCAGGGATAGCAAAGTTCTTAAGAGCCTTCTTCAAATGCACATGTACAAATCGAATTAATGTGGCAAGTTCCTTAGGAGAGAATATGAGGGCACTTCAAATAACTGGGCCGCAGTTTGCTGTCAGCATTACTGAATCTGTATGACAGGCTAGAGGCGGAGAATGGATAATTGAAACTGCCTTAAGCCAAAGACACTCTACTCCATCTGTGAAACTCTTTAAAAGGACCGATTAGTGTGAGACAAATGAATTCCCTTGTAGTACATAGTAGAGCACAAAATGTGAAAACCTGCTTCTAAAAGAAATCTGGACAGATAGGAACAATGGCATGAAAAATGAGCTGTGTTACTCAGATTTAGAGAAGAAACAAAATTATATTCCTCTTTTAGAGTCTTAGTTAAATGACTGACTACTCTTGTGTACTTCCACATCGAGTATAAAAATATTCTCTTTAGTTATAACACATTTTCAGTGTGCACTGGGTGGGAGAAAAGAACTCAGCCTTTAGGGTCACAGGTCTGGACTTCAATCCTGACTTCAATTAAGACCTTTCTGTCTCTTACAGAGTTATTGTGACCTTATATTAGAAAGTGCCCCTAAATGGGCATTCATTGATGATCTCTCTTCTCTATAAAACAAAGCCAGATCAAGTCACAACTCCTTTGCTCAAAACCCTCCAGTGGCTTCCCATCTCACTCGTGGCAAAGACAAAACTGTCACAAAGGCCTACAAGGTCCTACACCACCTGGACCCCTGTTACTCACGAGCCTCATTTCTCTGTCAGTCACAACGGCCACCTTGCTGTTCCTTGAGTAGACCAAGCAAGCTTTTGGGGCAGCTCTTGGTCCAGGCTATTGGCTTGTGCTATTCTTCTGCCTGAATAGTCTTCACAGACATCCCCAAGAGTCGGCCTCTCAGTTCCCTGAGTTCTTTGCTCAAATGTTTCCTAATCAGAGAGTCTCTCTTCACATAAGTCTACATAAAAGTGGAACCACCCACTTCTCCCTTTAGTGTTCTCTATAGCTCTCATCACAAGCTAATGCACTCAATCATTTGGTTGGTTACTTATTTAGTATTTTTCTCCTCTCACAAGTGTAAAAGCAACCTGAGATTGATGATTCTTTTTGTTTACTGTGCCTGACAGAGAGTAAATGCTCATGAAATATTTGTTGACTAAGCGAATCAAAGAAAGCATGAAATAAGCCAAGATTATCTATCACTGGCAAAGCCATCACAGCATCTAGGCGCCACACTTAACAGGAGAAAAACCAGGGAAGCTACGATGACAAGCATGTAATATTTGGTATCTTTCTTCTTTCCAAAAGTACCCTCAGTTATGCATAAAAGGGAAGAAAAGATTTAATGCCCAACAGGAAATATACATGACAAAAGATTTATATGATTAGCCCTGAATTTTCCATTTCTATAAGATGTTTTAACTTTGTCTTCCTTGAATGACTAACATGTGATATTCTCAATTATAAGTACTACTAGATTTAATACAATCATATCTAGGATAGTGTCCACTTGACTGCCGACTAGCTCCTGGGTTAGCTCTTGGGACTATGGCCATCTCTTTAGACTCTTTTTCTAGCCTTCACAACTCTCTAGTCCTCTTTAATTAATAAATTCTATAATTCCAAGTATATTTATCATTTCTTATAATAACCAGCGTATTGCTGTTTTAACTACACCCATATGTTTATTTCACTCTAGCCAGGATATTAGGTTAAAATTTTTACCTACTTTGCTATTTCCTGAACAGTTTTGAACTTTATATTGGGAAGAATTTAGGGACATAGGTGAAGTCATCAGGAGGAAGTCAGAGAGAAAGAGGGAAAAACCTTCATTAACCATAAACTGCTGGGCACGTCCGTAAACATTATTTCATTTAGTCCGAACGTCAACTTTCAACAGCAGAAGGAAGGTTTTGTTGTGTTTTTACAAATGCTTCATAATCAATAACAACAGCCGCTAATGTTTGCAATGATCTTATTTAGGTGTCACGAGCAGTATAAGTTTTCTTACTTAATCTTCCTGGCACCTCTTTGAAGATACAGTTATCATCTCATTTTTCAGAGGAGCAAATTAAGGATCACCAGAAAGGATAATATATGGCCCCAGGCCACAAAGCGATCAAGGGGCAGAACTGGATCTTTTTGGCCCAAGCAATTTCCATTATGTGCTGCTGCCCATCAGCTGAGTAAAGCATAGTGATTGATGCTGTACAAAGGAGAGTTTAATGGAATTGGCTAACTCATAGACTCTGTGGGAAAAGCTGAATCATGTATCATTACCTTTAAGCTTCACTCATGCTAGACATGTAGTTTGAGAAACCAGCCAAAACCTCGCTTTCATTTTCCTAGGCACTTACAGAGACCTCACTATGTTATCAGAGACCTGGGCACTTTGGTGCTTGAATCCTGCAAGGAGAAGCTCAGGGTGGTTGGAGGGAGTAGGGGAGAGAGAAGAGAACGATAACAGATGATTGGTGGCAGATGGCTGCTGCCAATGGAAAGTAGGTAGAAGCTACAGAGATCTTTGGGAGTCAGTCTTATTGGTTGCCAATTCAGTAAATATGAATTACAGTTTACAGAAACCTACAGCCTATCTACTAAGGCTTTCTGTTTCATCTTTGCTTGAGTGCAGGCAGCCCTAGAATCAGAACCACTGTTTGCACTTGCAAAGCCCTCACTAGCTCCTTAGAGCATAGCACTTAGTCAGAATGTCTACTTCCATTTTAAACTAGAATGCCACAGACTCACAGAATCCCAGCACCTTCAGGGGAAGTCAGAGCACCGAGGACCACTAGTGGGAGCTAACTCAGCAAAGTTGGTCTGTTATGCAGAAGCTGATTCTCTGAAGAAAGTCCAAGGAACATGTTCATGACAAATCTTCCCCTGATAAACTGACAGCTGCCTCAAGATCACTGAAGAATGCTCAACTCTCAGGTGAGCTATGCCAAATTGCTGGAGTGTGCTTCTCTCCACTCTGGTTATAGTTCTTAATCAGATCCACCGAATTAGGCAAAGGGCTCACAATAAAACTCTCACAACCAAGTAAACCAGTAAACTAACTCTCAAATTTTCTACTCATGTATAAGCTCTAGGCTGTTTTGTCTGCATCATTTCCCAATATTCCTCTATTGCCAGACCACTCTGTTCAGTCTTATTAGATACTGCCCTTAAACTCCACGTTCAGAAAAACATCACTGGTCAGTTCTGTAGCAGCAACAATGCTGAAGCAAGGTATAAAGTAGCCATAAAATTCAAGAGGAAAGAAAGGCCTGAAGCTGCTATACATTAAACCCATGGATCCACATTGAACTAGATTTACAATTATACATGTAGAAATTAAAAACATTTAGTGTAAAACAAGGTTTTAGCATAAGAAAATATGAACCAGAAAGGGCTAATCTTTAGAGATAGAAAATAAGTTAGTAGTTGCCTGAAGTGGGGGTGGGAATGGAAAGTATTTGCAAATAGGCCCAGGAATTATTATAGGAGAGAGAAA